TATATATATACACACACACACACAACTTTTAAAAAAGACAATCTTTCTAAAAGTGCACCTAAAAGACTAAAAATAAAATTTAAAGTTAGCAATTTAGGAGAAAGATCGGATGGCTAAGTACAATTCAAGCTAGTTGTTAGCCATTCAATCTTTCTCCTAAATTGCTAACTTTAAATTTTATTTTTAGTCTTTTAGGTGCACTTTTAGAAAGATTGTCTTTTTTAAAAGTTTTTTTATATATTTTTTTTATTTTTGTCTTTTTGGTCTTAAATCTAGTGTGTTTCAACTAAAAAAAACTCCAAGGTGTGTTGATATGCTTATATGCTTTGAGCTAGACTTTTTTACAAAATGTTTTTGGAAGGGCTTCTGGAAAGTTCGATGTGACTGGAATTCGTGTAAGAATGTTCAAGGTGCTAGGTGTTGTAGAAACACAGAACAAACCTGTCATTCCAAATATAAGTGAGACAACAGATGAGTACAATTGATAAAAAGGGTGGGGAGAGAAGGCAACGGACACGAAGGCTACGTCTACACTGGCATGATTTTCCGGAAATGCTTTTAACGGATGTTAATTACTTTGTTATGTAAAAACCATAGTGGCGTCTCCTTACAGCACATGGCCTGCCCCTTCCGCCCAAGGCCCCGCCCCTTCTGGGTTGGCCCGCAGCCACTTCTGAAATTTGTGAAGTGGCCACCTATTAATAATTATTGCCCACCCTGATGTAAGGGCTACTACCAGACAGAGAACTCAATAATAGTAATAGATAGGGTGACCGTATTTCCTCATACCAAATATAGGATACCATGGAGTGGGGTGGGGGGATGGGTTGGCTAGAGCTTGGGGCTTCAGCCCCGCAGCAGGTGGGCAGCATTTGAGGCTTCAGCCCTGGAGCGATGGGGGACTGCTTGGGGGTTCAGCCCTGCAGGAGGGTGGCACTCAGGGCTCCAGTCCCGGGGGGAACGTGCGGGTAAGGAGCTGCCAGCACTTGGGAGTGCTTGAGGCTCCAGCCCCAGAGGGTTGGAAGGAGGAGCTGCTGGCGCTGGGGCTTCAGTGGCTGAAGCCCTGAGTGCTGGCGGCTCCTCCCTGTCCTCTGCTGCAGGAGAAATAGGGGACAATGGGTCCATTTTCTAAAAGTTGAGACGCCGGGAAAAGCCCTTAAATACGGGACTGTCCCTGGAAAAATGGGACAGATGGTCACCCTAGTAATAGAAGTAAATCATATCTCTTGAAAGCTAAGAGAGACATTTCAATGTCATTGTAATAAAATTTTTCTCCTTTAATTGACAGCATAATAGAAAATGCTAATGAGGAAATTATATAGTTATTTTTTTTCCTCACACTCCTGTGGGCTGTTGACCTATGTTATGCAACCTCAGTTATGTGACTAATATACCTCAAGTCAACTTTCTTAGTCGGCTTATGCGGTGTCTTCACAGTGATAAGTTGACAGCTGAACTTTCCTGTCGACTCTGCTCACTCTTCTCATTTTGGCGGAATACTGGATTCAATGGGAGAGGTCAATTTATCGTGTTTAGTATAGATATGATAAATCGACAGCGCCTCCACTAGATTGATTGTCATCCATCGATGCAGCCCATAGTGAAGACATGCCCTCAGTGTAAGACCTCAGAAGGTATAAAAATGATGAGGTTCCTCTTCAAAAGATCCAACATTCTGATATAATTAACCAACATTTGAAGACACTATAACTCCAGAGAGGAGCAGAACAGGAAACAATGAATAGAGCTGCATGACTTTTTATTTTTTTCAAATAGTTACTTGCCAACAAATGTGTTTTCTATTGAGCCAAAACTATTTGCAGATTTGTATCAAGTTTGCCAAATAGTTTCAGCCAAATTTTAAAAAATGAACATGTTTTCTTTTGGCTTGACTCAAATTTTTTCATTTTGATTTTGGCAGTTATTAAAAAAAATCTAACAAGGTTTAGATTCACTAAATAGCCCTTTATGGTTATAGATGGGATGTGGAAGGCTCCAACTGATGTAGAGAAAGGATTTCAACTTGGGTCTCCCAAATTCTAGGTGATAGCCTAACTATCTAGCAGTAGAGTCATTTTCACCCTCTCTCTGGGCCCCAAACTATTCATTATAGTGTGGCCATTGAAAGTCATCCTTAATAATGGTTTTGCTTGTTTTAAACAAAACATAGAAAGTTTCTAGCAAAATGAAAAGCTATTTTTGTTGGGAAAATATGTTGTGACAAAAACTTCAAACAATTGAAGTATCATAAGAACGATCATGCTGGGTCAGACCAAAGGTCCATATAGCCCAATAGCCTGTCCTCGGACAGTGGCTAATGCCAGGTGTCCCATACTGAATTAACAGAACAGACAATCATCAAGTGATTGTCTTCTGGCAAACAGAGACTAGGGACACCATCTCTGCCCATCCTGGCTAATAGCTGTGGCTGTCCTCCAGGAATTTATCTAGTACTTTTTTGAACCCTGCCATAGTCTTAGCCTTCACAGCATCCTCTTGCAGGAAGTTCCACAGATTGGCTGTATGTTGTGTGAAGAAATACTTCCTTTTGTTTATTTTATTCCTGTTTACTTTTACTATTTTAAATAAATTCCTTCAAATCCTAGGTCACATTGACATTTTATCTGATATTTTTATAGACTTCTAGCCTGTCTCCTCCTTAGTCATCTTTTTGCCAACTGAAAAAGTCCCAGTTTGTATTTTAAAAAGTCTTACAGAAGCTATTCCATACCCCTAATCATTTCAGTTGTCCTTTTCTGAACCTTTTGTAATTCCAATATATCTTTTCAGAGATGGGGAAACCACATCTGCATGGTCTCAAGATGTGAGTGTTCCGTGGTTTATATAGAGGCAATCTGATACTTTCTCTCTTCTAATCTATCCTTTTCTTAATGTTTCTCACCATTCTGTTTGCTTTTTTGACTGCCACTGAAAGGGATTTAGGGGTCATAGTGGACCACAAGTTAAACTTGAGTCAACAGTGTGACACTGTTGAAAAAAAACCAAACATGATTCTGGGATGCATTAACAGGAATGTTGTGAGCAAGACATGAGAAATCATTCTTCCACTCTACTCTGCACCGATTAGGCCTCAGTTGAAGTATTGTGTCCAGTTTTGGGCACTGTATTTTGAGAAATTGGAGAAGGTCCATAGAAGAGCAACCAAAATGATGAAAGGTCTAGAAAACATGACCTATGAGAGAAAACTGAAAGAACTGGGCTTGTTTAGTTTAGAAAAGAGAAGCTTGAGAAGGGACAGGATAGCAGTTTTCAAGTATCTAAAAGGGTGTTACAAGAAGGAGGGAAAAAATAGTTTTTCTTGGCCTCTGATGATAGGACAAGAAGCAATGGGCTCAAATTGCACAACGGAGGTTTAGGTTGGACATTAGGAAAAACTCCCTAATTGTCAAGGTGGTTAAACACTGGAATAATTTACCTAGGGAGGTTGTAGAATCTCCATCACTGGAGATATTTAAGAGCAGGTTGGACAGATGTCTATCAGGGATGATCCAAATGGTGCTTGGTCCTGCCATGAGGGCAGGGGACTGGATTCGATCTCTCAAGGTCCTTTCCAGTTCTAGGATTCTAGGATCATCTGCAAATTTTGACACCTCTTTGTTTTTCCAGATCATTTATGAATATGTTGAATAGAACTGGTCCCAGTCCAGACCCATAGGGGATACCCCTATTTACCTCTCGCCATTCTGAAAACTGAGCATTTATTCTTATCCTTTGTTTCCTATCTTTTAACCAGTTATCAGTCCATGAGAGGACCTTCCCTCTTATCCCATGACAGCTTCCTTTGCTTAAGAACCCTTGTTGAGGGACCTTGTCAAACACTTTCTGAAAATCTAAGTATACTGCATCCACTGGATCCCGTTTGTCCACATGCTTGTTGACCCCCCCTCAAACAATTCTAATACGTTAGTCAGACATGAATTCCATTTATTAGAGTCATGTTGACTTTTCCTCAACAAATTATATTCATCTATGTATCAGACAATTCTGTTCTTTATTATAGGTTCAAGTTCAACCATTTTGCCCAGTGCTGAAGTCAGGCTTATTGGGCTATAATTGCTAGGATCACCTCTAGAGCTCTTTTTAAAAATGGGCATCACATTAGCTGTCCTATAGGCATTTTGGTACAGATGATAATGTAATTATTAGTTTACAAACCATAAGAAGTAATTCTGCAATTTTCACATTTGAGTTCCTTCAGAACTCTTGGGATAATACATCTAGTCCTGGTAATTTATTGCTGTTTAGTTTATTAATTTGTTCCAAACCCTCCTTTAATGACACAACAGATCTGAATAACTATTCCAACATCATTTGCCTTCTGCTTCCATGTGAACAGTAACTGAAGTCAACATTGTAGCTACACTTTAATACCTCTCCAAATTCTATTGCCCTCTTTGAACCGAACAAGGCAAATACAAACAGGCTCCCAGCTCTGTAATTGGCTAAATCCTAACCATTGCTCCTTGCTCCTAGGGGAATTTCAGATCGATTCCAGTTTTGGGGCTTGGGCTGATCTCAATTATATATAACACAAGGGACAAGAAAAGGTAAGTTGCTAATTGTCTCCTTCCTTTACAGCAATGTTGTGATTGCTGCAGTCTGGGCCTGAGAGTAAAAGGTGAGGGGCAAACCTGTGAGTCCAACCCTAATCTCGGCTATCCCTGCAACCACGTGATGCTATCCTGCTGTGAAGGAGAAGATCATCTTATTCCTCCAGAAATAAAAAGGCATCCTGAACCACTGCCAACAGTGACGCCTGAGAGAAGTAGGTTCCCTGGTTTTAATTACAGGCAGTTGCAGAGTTGAGAGATTTCTCCATTCCAAGCTATAAAAAAGGGTTACTGTGGAAGTACAATTGGTTTAGCTTTTAGTCAACAATAAAACATTTCTTTTGGACCAGAGATGAACTGAACTGGGTCAGAAAAAGTTTACATGCCTCTGAACTTGAAGTCCCCACCTATTTCATTTACTACCTGGTTGTACAGTTCAGCCTGCTAGATTGTCCAGTATGGTCACTCACAAAACTTTCCTTGAGCCAAATAGGATTGGCTGTTCCTTTCTATGTGCTGGAAATACCTACTCATTTTTAGGGCTTGTCAACACATGATTGAGGGTAGGGTATGAATTTAAAGCAAATTAACTCTACTGTATTAAGCAAATTTGAAGTAAGACATGCTTATTCTGTATCTGCACATGGAGTTAATCAGGAGTAACTCCTCAGGCCAACAAGCTCGCAGTCCTTTTGCTTCCTTCTGGCTTGTCCCAACACTGATGTAACGCCAAGTACTTTCTACAGGGTGAGCTGAATAGTTTCACTGAAAAAAAGCACTTGCCTCTTCAAAATGCAGACTTCGAGCATCACTAGCTACATTTCCTCCCCATCCTCTCCCTTCAACTCACCTTCAGGAGAATCACGTTGCTCCCCATCAAATGATGTGGAGAAGGCTGGGGGTTCCTTCCTCTCAGGCTCAGTAAGGCTGTGTCCAGACTCAAGGGTTTTTTCGAAAAAAGTAGCCTTTTTTTGAAAAAACTTCACTTGCGTCTAGACTACAGCCGCGTTCTTTCGAAATTAAATTGAAAGAACGCGGCTTTTCTTTCGACAGCGGTAAACCTAATTTCACGAGGAAGAACGCCTTTTTTGGAAAGTGTTCTTTCAAAAAAAGGCGTTCTTTAATGCAAACAGGGCGTTTTCGAAAAAGAGCATCCAGACTGCCTGGGTGCTTTCTTTCAAAAAAGTAGCTTGCTTTTTCAAAAGTACTGGTTGCAGTCTAGATACTCTTTTTTGAAAGAGGCTTTTTCGAAAGATACTTTCGAAAAAGCCTCTTTCGAAAGAGGCTTGCAGTCTAGACGTAGCCCAGGTGTAATGGCAGCACTTAAGTAAATTGATCTAAGGTCAGACAGTGAAAAGTTGTGGAACCAGGGAATGCAATTATAGAGTCAAATGTCCCGGTCCCTTTCTCTAACTCAGGCCTGGGCAAAATACGACCTGCAGGCCACATTTGGCCCATCAAGCCAACGGACCAGGCCTGTGGACGCAGCAGGGAGCCCCAGGCAGGCTCCCCTGCTTGGCCCACAGCCCCGCACGCTTCTCATAACAGCGGCTGTGGGGCTGTTTCTCT